CTGCTCTGTGCTGCTCTGCGTTGGACCCAGCTGAGTATGGACTGAAACCTCCAGTAACTGTGAGCTAAATAAACCTTTCCTTCCTTCATTTTGAGTGTCGGGTATTTGTCCCAGCAACGAGAGAAGAGTAACTTAAGACAGCCTGGAAATTCCAATACTGCCACTGCGGGACTGCACCAAGTCTAGGAAAGTGTTCTACCACTGAGCTACACACCTATTTCTGGAAAGTGATATTTTTTGAAACTTCTCTACTTCAGTCTACTATGTGGCTAGGCTTGAGAATCATAGTTATAAATTAGGAACTTTGGGTATTAAAAACATTACAGAAATTAAAAGTGATCACTGGGCATGGTAGTGCACTCCTATAATTCAACACTTAGGAGGCTGAGGCAGGAGGATCTCACTATGCATTTGAGGCCAACCTGGACTACATAGATAGGAGTTCAAGGTCAGCCTGAACTAGATCGCGAGAGCCTATCAAAAAAGACAGACAGACAGACAGACAGACAGATAGACAGAGAGAGAGAGAGAGAGAGAGAGAGAGAGAGAGAGAGAAACAGAAAGAAAGAAAAAGTAAATAATGGAAGAGGGAATTTACTGTGTTACTGTGTTGTTATAAGGACAGAGAAATATCTAAAGATTTTTTGTGTGTGTGTTTGCCAGGCAAGCACTTATTCTACTGAGCTATCTCCCTCAGAGAAATATCTAGTAGATTGAGCAACACTGAAATACTAACTGTTGTCTTGGGGTTGAGCAGTTTTGGCAGAGTGCCAGAGGTAAAAGCCGGGCTGGAGTAGATTGACGAATGATACCCAGGTGGGATACTCTCTGTAATTGAGCAGAGGGTACTTGGATAGCTTTGTGACTTTTTAGGGAGACATTTAGTTAGAATAGATAAATTAATATCAACAGTACTTAGCAGAACATGGGGTTTTGGTTTTCTTCTTTTTGTTCCTATTGGCTGTCCCTTCAGAATGTATCTAGATGTGACCACCTTTTAACCATCTTCACTCCAGGTCCCTGGTCTGAGCCACCATCACCTCTCACTGCCCTCTAACTGGTCTGGCATCTACCCTTGTTCCCCATAGTCTGGTTAATCCAACAGTTTCCTGTGTGAAAACATGAGCCTGCTCATTCTTCTCCTCCACTTACAACACTTTACTGCCTCATGCAGAAATGCCAGAATCCTTTGAGTATCCTGTAAGGCTCTCTGTGACTTGACCACTTTCTCTTGTCTTCCTAATACTGTTACATTGTTTTCCTACCTTTTACTCTGTTTCTTACACTCCCTCTGCTTTCTGTGGTGCAGTCATATTGGCTTCCTTGCTATTCCTCCAATACTCCAAATAAACTCCTGCGTTAGGGCCTTTGCACTCGCTGTTGCCTATTGCTATGCATTCTTCTACTAGATACTAACTTTGCTAATTGAAATATTTAAGTGTTGGGCTGGTGAGATGGCTCAGTGGTCTAAAGCACCTACTTAGAACAAGCTTAGCAAAGCCCAGGGACCGCGGCTCAATCCCCCAGCACCACATACCGGCCAGCCTGCCCCCTGGTGGGCTGAGCTGGACACACACACACGCGCGCGCGCGCGCGCGCGCACGCGCACACACACACACACATAAATAAATAAAATTTAAAAAAAAAAAGAAATATTTAAGTGTTGTCTACCGTGGCAGAGGGATAGCCCCGTGGTAGAGCATGTGTTTAGCATGCGTGAAACCCTGAGTCTCACACACAAAAATTATCATTGAACTTTCCTTGGCTTCTCTATTTAAAACTGCAACCAAGCCAGTTATTTGTTTTATGCTTGTTGTCTTTTGTGTGTGTGTTTTCCCCCACTAGACTGAAAAGTCTATTGAACAGGATTTCTTCATACTTATTTTGTTCTCTCATGTAAGCCTAGTAGCTGGCACAGGCTTGGCCCATAGTGGATATGGTTATACAAATAACTGAGCATGTATACTTTTTATAATTAAAGAAAAGGAGTGGGAGCAACTCGCGGCTGCATGTGTGCCATCTACTGTGGAAGCTGACTGAAAGCTCAAAGAAAACTTCAGTCTGTGTATCTAAATGTAATTGGAATTATTTGTTGCATTTTTATTTTTTTTTAATTTTTAATTTTTAATTTTTTTAATTTTTTTTTAATTTTATTTATTTATTTGTGGGGGGGGGGCAGCTCAGTCCACCAGCGGGCGGGCTGGCTGGCACGTGGTGCTGGGGGATTGAACCGTGGTCCCTGGGCTTTGCTAAGCTTGTTCTAAGTAGGTGCTTTAGACCACTGAGCCATCTCACCAGCCCCATTTGTTGCATTTTTAATGCCAAATCACCTAAGATAAATAAAGAAGCCAAATTTTTAGCTAAAAAGAGAAAAAAAAAAAAAAGGAAAGCAAATGAATGTTTACTGGAGGGAAGAAGGAACACCTACCATGGATGACAAAAAGGACTTTCTCCTCTTAACTGTCTGACCCATATTTTCTCTTTCTTCAGACATAGCAGAGGAGGAATGATCGTGAACAACCTTTCTCTGTGCTACCAGAACAAACTCATCTTGGCCCCTATGGTTCGGGTTGGGACTCTCCCAATGCGGCTGCTGGCCCTGGATTATGGAGCAGACATTGTTTACTGTGAGGTAAGGACTGCTGGTTTTCTGGAAGAGTTTTCCCACAAGTACAGCCTCCCCGTTTGGGTACAGGGGTGGTCAGGAGTTCTGTGTGCTCATTGAGGGCAAGAGAGGATGAATATGTATGACACTGAGTTCTGTAGGACCAGCAGGCTGGGGAGTGCAGATGTGTTCTGGCTCTTGCTGCACCAGATGAGCATCTGTGAGCATCCTGTGAGCATCCTGTTGGGCTGTTGCCCTCTGCCCTAGGAGTGTGCATCTGGGAGTAAACTCAGAGCTTAGAAAAAAGAGGAAAAGGACCAGATTTGATCTTACCTCCTTTAAGTTGGATAAGGTTGATTTTGGTAGCCATAGGAGTTTTTGGTAGTGGTAGCCACTAAAGGTGGAGGTGGGGCAGAGAGGTGACTGACTGTAAAAGGGCAATGTGAGGACTCCTTGTGATGGAACTCTTCTGTGCCTTAGGTATGTCAGTGTCGGTATACTGGTTGTGATAATGTATTATAGCATTCTAAGGTGTTGCCTCTAGGGGAAAATCAGTTAAGGACATACAGGAAAATGATAGATGGGAGATAAGCCATTGGTTTCATGCTGACAGACTTGTAGCAAGCTAGTTTTCTATTGGAATTGAGCGTGGCAGTAGGGTAGAGGCAGAGTCTTGAGGAAAGCAGGGTGTTCTGGTCTTATTCCCATGGAGACTGGAGACTGGGAAGTTTGCCTGGCAGCTGGCTGTCAAAAGTGATGTTGATTTTAGCTTTATGGAAAGAAGAGCCAGGAAGCCTAGTGGGTGGTTTGTCCATGACTGGGGATTGCCATACCAGTACCCACAGCAGGTTAAGGATCCCTCCTCCTCCCCCTCCCCCTCTCCCTTCTTTCCCCACTTCTTCTTCCCTTCCCTCTGTTTATGTAGAGCCGCCTCCCCAGCCCAGAAAGACAGGTTTGTGAGTTCAGAATCACAGAGATCCCAACTCCTAATTCCTAAGTACTTTGTAAAGAAAAGTAAGAGTTGTTAGTCCAGGCTCCTAAAACATGCTCTTGGCTGGAAGGAACCCTTTGCCTGAGGCCAGCCCCTGAACATAAGAGCATTATTCATCCTATCTGGCTCCTGGGTGTTCTACTGCAGTTTAGATATAGTCTCTCCTGGTCAGCATACTGCTAGATCTGAAGAATTTGAATTTTGAAAGGGAATGGGAAGAGAAAATGAGGAATCCTTGGCTCATAGCCTGAGGACTGGAAGTAGAAATGATCAAATTCTAGAGAATTTAGATAGCTGTTACCTTATTTTGCCTATGGTGATCCCCCTGAGCCCCACAGAATGTAAAAAGAGAACTACACATTAATCCCTTATGCGCTTGGGTCCTGCAGGATGACTCAAACTTGGAGTGAAGCTCCCAGCTTCTTTCCTGCTATCCAGTTTCATCTCTGCCCAGTTGCACTTTTCACAAGGCTCTCTGGGTAAAGGGTGTCCCTGTCCTCTCAATTTGTGCTTTTTTATGGGGGCCGGGGAGATAGCTCAGTAGATTTGTGGGGGTTTTTTTTTTGGGTTTTTTTGTTTTTTAATGTGGAACCAGGGATTGAACTCAGGCCCTTGCGCTTGCCAGGGAAGCACTTATTCTACTGAGCCATCTCCCTGGCCCCCAAAAGGACACTTTTTTTTTTTTTTTTTGGTGGCACTGGGGATTGAAGTCAGACCCTTGCACTTGCATTTGCCAGGGAAGCGCTTATTCCACTGAGCCATCTCCCCAGCCCAAGATAGCTCAGTAGAATAAGCACTTGCCTGGCAAGCACAAGGGCCTGAGTTCAATCCCCAGTTCCACACACACACACACACACACACACACACACACACACACACAAATCCTCTCAATTTGTGCTTTGTATACTGTTTGCACTGCTGCTACTTGATGTTCCTTCTTCCTTTAATCCTTTTCCTTTACTACAGTGAGACTTGGTCCATTGAGTGCTGAGGATTCATTTCTGCCCATACCATGGCCATCCTGCTAGGCCCATCTGCTAGATCAAGTGTTAGTAAATGCTTTAGAATTTTAGAGCTGTCAGCAAACCTGCTTGGGGTCAAGGTTCTAGCTTTGCTAGTTGAGGAAAAGGTGGTAGTATCTATAGTACCATGTATATCCCCTTGGCCTCCACTTTTCCTAAGACCTCAGGAAGTGTTTTATTTTATTTATTTATTTTTTTTTTTTTGAGGGGGGAGGATGTACAGTACAACACTGGAATGGAAGAGGGTGATGGTTCTTGCAGCACAGGGCCTGCCCTGGACAACCATGCTTTTGTGACAGCCATGGGCATCAGGACCACGCGGTGGGAGCAGAGCTGCCACAGATGCAGAGCTGTGCTGGGAGGTTTCAACCTTCCATCAGCTAATTCCTGGAGCATTCTGAGGGTTTTTGACCCCTTTGGAAATTAAAGGCCCAGGATTTATGTGGTGATTTCAGTTAGTGACCCTTCTAATTGGCTGAAGTTTGGTTTTCCTAGGAAAAGTGACTAATCCTTTATTCCAGTGAAACTTCTTAGGATTGGCCAGATAGCTCAGTGGACCAGGGTTTTATCCTGGGCATACTGTGCTGCCTCCACCTTCAGGATGCACTGAGATGGCAATTGAGACTGGGCATGGTGGTGCGAGCCTGTAATCCCAGTGCTTGTGAGGCTGAAAAGAGGAGGATCACTATGAGTCCTATCTGTGTAGTGAGACCCTATAAACCCTGTACTAAATACATTAAAAAAAAAAAAAAAACAGAAACAGATTCCAGTAAAACTTCTTCCTCGAATTTGGAACAGAAGAAGGGGCCAGGGAGATAGCTCAGTAGAATAAGCACCTGCCTGGCAAGTGAAAGGTCCTGAGTTCAAACCCTGGTACCACAAAAAAAAAAAAAAAAAAAAAAAGTTTTTGGGGCTGGAGAGATAGCTCAGTAGAATAAGTGCTTGCCTGGCTAGCGCAATGGCCTGAGTTCAATCCCTGGTTCTGGGGAAAAAAAAAAGACATTTAAAAAAAAAAATTGAAACAGAGGAAATACTGAAGACTTTAGAATTATTTGAGGCGCTCCACTCTGAGAGTTCAAATAGCTTAGGAACAAGTAAAGGAATCTCTGCTGGAGTCCCTTCTAGCCAGATCTAGTCCCAGGAGAGTGAGCAGGATAGGCAGGAAGATAGGCCGGTTTGGCTTGCCTGAGTAACTGGCCACTGCCCTGAGGACTGGGTATGACTTACTGTACCGTGGTGCCTGGCGCCCCCTGATGGAAACAGAGTTGGTCTGCAGACCAATGTATTCTGGTAACTGCGGCCTGGATGTTCTTTCTGGGTTTTGTGAGGTGGCCCATCTGCAGGCCCACTCTGAGACCCCAGTCTACCTCGTGTGGAACCTAGGGACATACCGGGCATGCAGGCACTTTCTTGGTTCCACAGCACCTGGAAAATAAGCTTGTCAGCAGAAGTTCTTTGTCACCAGAGTCTGCTCTATAAGCTATGTATACCCTAGAAATCACATTTCTATTCCTTTTTATAACAGTGGGACTTCAGTGGCTCTGTAAGGAGGTATCAAAAAAAAAAAAAAAAAAAAAAAAGGAGGTATCTTCCTGTTAGACATAAAACCTTTTAATAAATAGGATCAAAGGAAAAGGTGATGTGTTCTGAAAGGGCCCAAAGCACCGTAATGAATAATTTTTTAAAAAATTTTTTTCTGGCTGGACATGGTGGTGCATGCCTATAATCCTAGCATTTGGGGCTGGTGAGATGGCTCAGTGGTCTGAAGCACCTACTTAGAACAAGCTTAGCAAAGCACAGAGACCGCGGTTCAATCCCCCAGCACCACATGCCGGCCAGCCCTGCCCCCTGGTGGGCTGAGCTGGCCACACACACACACAAAATAAATAAAAAAAAAAAAAAAAAAAAAATCCTAGCATTTGGGAGGCTGAAGCGGGACAATCACCGTGAGTTCAAGGCCAACCTGGGTTACAGTGCTTTTTTTTTTCCTAACTGAGAATAATTGTGATGTCTCATTCCCTGTTTATTTATTTATTTTTTTTTAAAGGAAGGGTCTCACTATGCAATTCAGGCTGGCCTTGAACTATGGAGCACAGATGGGCTTTAAGCTCAGTGATCTTCAGCCTCCTGAGTGCTGGGATTATAGGAGTGAGCCACCATGCCTGGCTTTATTCCCTCTTTATTGATGTCTTCTAAGAATAAGGCCATTTTCCTATAAAACTATCACACAGCTATCAGCTTCCATAAACTTAACATTGATGTACATACCTTTTCTTTTTTTTTTCTTTTTTATCTTTTCTTATCTACCTTTCATATTGTAGTTTTCTCATTGAGCCAGTTCATTTTAGCATTTTGTTTATTTTATTTATTTATTTATTTTTTGCAGAACCAGGGATTGAACTCAGGCCCTTGTGCTTGCCAGGGAAGCGCTTATTCCACTGAGCCATCTCCCCGGCCCCTTATCTGTTTTTTTGAGACAAAGTCTCACTATATAGTATAGGCTAGCCTTGAACCTTCTGGTGTGGTTGAATATATTCTACTTGGAATTTGGTGAGTTTCTTGGATGTATAAATTAATGTTTTTCATCAAATTTGAGGAAATTTCTGCTATTATTTTTTCAAATATTCTTCCTATCTCTTGGGGGACTTCTGTATATTGAGCATATATTTGTATACTTTTTGTATGCTTAAGCATCTTGCACAGATCTCTGATACTCTGTTTCTTCTTCTTCTTCTTCTTCTTCTTCTTCTTCTTCTTCTTCTTCTTCTTCTTCTTCTTCTCCTTCTCCT